TATGTTTGTGATAGATGAGAATTTATGAGTTTGTAAAAACTATTTACACAAGTTACAAATGTTTTTGTTGAGGTCTACAGATACAAAGCAAAAAACTGTGTGTAAAACTCTCAAAGCTGTGTGTGACTTTCAACTTGCAGTTATGAAGTTTGACCCGGTTCCTTTCAGCTGATTGGTCAATGTCATATCACAAATTTAACAATCCAATCAGATAACAGTTGGGTGGGCTTTACTTAGCCTCAGGCCCTTGAAGGGTAAATGCCCGTTCATGTGCCAGTGTTTTCCTTCATCACCACGAAGGAGAACATTTTGTGCGTGTCTGAGTTCGGTAAATTTTTTGTGTCACAGGTTTATGTGTTCATACAGACCCAGAGCCTTTTCAACTGCTCACTTCAAGGGGAGAGCAGTGCTGTGGAAACAACAGACTCCTCACTAGTCGGGACAGTTACAAAGCTTTCTTCATTATGAATGAGCGATACATGTTTTATTGAACATTTCAACATAATACAACACAAATTCTTGTAGAGGATATAAAGTCAGAGAGGTACATGTTTTGAAACGAGGCGCATCTAGTACACGAAGAGCTGCTGCGAAAAAACGACAGCGGCCAGCGCAACAAATGTTGGATCCTTCACTCTTAGTTAGCGTATCCGTTGTAAAAGGGCCTTTATGCTGCACCGTGTGACTCACAGCAAAGGTCCCGGGTCAGCCCTGACTTTGTGTTAACGTAATACTAAAGTAATAATGGTGTTTCTGACTGGTATAGCACAACTTTATCTTTCCAACAGCTACCGAAAGTTAAGGGACCTAGCTTGTATGAGCCTCATGGGATATTCGTATAGAGATCCTCCAGCTTCAAACTGTATCACCCTTCCAGGACCTGGAGCTCAGTAAAGCCGAGTAAGCCAAAACCCATCTGATTTCTGATTGTCATGGCAACGACAAATTTAACAATCCAAAGACCAATCGGCTTAAACGAATTTGTACTTGTTGAAAGTCACACGCAAGCGAGGGAACTTGAGAGTTTTACACGTAGATTTTTGATTTGTATCAGTTTCTGTGAGAACATTTATGACAGAGTGTTAAACCTTTTATGTAACAGCACAAATTTGTCACATTGAAGAGGAAATGTTTCATTTCTGCTTTAGATTCCAAACTTGAGGGAAGAAGTAAGAAAGACAGAGATACAGGTATTTCTGTAGAATGCTAACTCACTGTAACTGAGGCACAGAGGATTGGGATACAACTAAACTTGCAGTTATTTGATAGTCTTACTGAGATATTACATTTCATTAATAAGAACAACAGAAGTGATTTATCTGTTAACATTTGTGGAGAGTCAACTTTGTGTTAAACCCTGGTCAGCGTGTTTTTGCTTTAACAGTATTATTTTCTTCTCTTTTTAGCAAAACACATTTCCCAGGGATGTTGAAGAGGGTTCCATTTTATTAACGGTAATTTTTACTGTACTACTACTTTCATAAACGGTGCCTTTAAAAGACTTAATGTTTCACACATGTGGTTTCCTTGACTGGTGAGACCAGACAAGACCGAATGGAAACACAGCCTTGACTGATTTGATATCCATCCCACTAAGTGTGCTTGTTTTTTTTTTTTTTGGTCAGCAGAGGTCCAGCTGAAACTACAAAAATCTATTTTTCCAACAGCTGTAGGAAAAAAAAAACTGGGTGTGCTTATGTGCTCGATA